AGACAATTTCTTGCCAGCATACTTTTAAGACATTGAAGGAAAAATTGGCCTCAGCTCACTGTCGTACATACTGGATTATGATGCTAGTAATGTCGGGATTGGAGGAGTGTTGTCTCAGAATGTTGGTGAAAATGAACACGTGGTGGCCTACTTCAGTAGGGTTTTGAGTAGACTAGAGAGGAACTACTGTGTAACATGGAGGGAACTTCTTGCTATAGTAAAGAGTCTGACATATTTCCATCCTTACCTCTATGGGGCTAGGTTTACCATCAGGACAGACCATGCTGCCTTACGCTGGTTAAGATCATTAAAGAACCCAGAGGGACAACTGGCACGTTGGATCGGAAAGTTAGACCAGTATAGTTATAATATTGAATATAGAGAAGGAAAATATCATGGAAATGCCGATGGACTGGGCCAAAGACCCTGCAAAAATGACTGCAGACATTGCTGCAAAAGAGAGGTTGAACTAACCAGGTGCCATCAAGCTGAAGTCAAAGTGACTGAAAGAGTCGATGATGGTGAAGTGGAACCAAATATAGATATCAAAGCAGAACAGGAGAAAGACCAATAATTGGTTTTCTACAAGCAAGTGTTTTGTACCATGCTTTGGAGAATGTGTCTAGCTTAAGCCCCGTGACAAAGAACTACTGGGCACAATGGTCCAGTTGAAGCTTGAAGATGGTATTCTTCTCCGGAGATGGGAAACTGCAGATGGGAAAGTGACTACCTGGCAAACGGTTATACCCAGAATGCTCTGGGAAGTTGTGCTGCGTCAATCCCATGATAATTTAACAGGAGGGCATCTTGGAGTTAAGAAGACCTTGAGTCACCTATGACAGAGATTTATTTGGATATGTATGAGGCAAGATGTGGAAGAATGGTGTAGGACATGCAGTACATGTTGTGCTAAAAGGGGACCCAAGCATAAAGGACGTGTTCCAATGAAGTGATATCAAGTTGTTGCGCCAATGGAAAGAGTAGCCATTGACATGCTCGTCCTTTGCCCCAAACTCGTGCTGGAAACAGGTACATTTGTGTGGTGATGGATTATTTCACCAAGTGGCCTGAGGCATATGCAATAACAAACCAGGAAGCTACAACTGTAGCTTCGGCTATCAGTGATTCCTTCTTCAGATTTGGTATGCCATATGAACTGCATTCAGATCAAGGCCGTAATTTTGAATCATCTGTGTTCCATGAATCCTGCAAGTTGTTTGGCATATAAAAGCCCAGAACAATGCCACTTCACCCACAGTCTGATGGGATGGTAGAAGAGTACAATTGGACACTGGGACAAGAATTGG